CATATTTAATTACCCCCTTCACTATCAATTCGAGTCAAGCCGAAGTAAGCTTTATGAACCCGTAGGGTGAATTTTCAGCGATCGAGGTGGATGGCACCCGAGTGTGAATAGGTTAGTTAAAAACGACAGAAAACTGCATGTAGGAAGACGATAGTGACAGATAAAAAATGAATAAATAAACTAACTCATGAGGTGTTCAACCAAACCTGCAATAATTAATGCCCGATTTACTAGAAAGCGAGCAAGAAAAGGGAGGATACTGTTTCTGTATGTGACGGTGCGTGCGGGAAGGAGCCTATAATGGGAGCGGGTACGGGGGTTTGACACGGATTTAATACGTTCGTTGTGCAAGCAGTGATCTTCGTCGTGGTGATCATCTTAAAGCCTCTACGTGTCCCAAAATAAAATCGTATGTCCGTCCTTGTCTTGCTATTCAAATAAATTATGGTTATAATGGTTATCAATGGTGGAAAAATAGATCGATCACTAAACAACGAGACGAGGGCATTAGCAACCGCATGGTTAACGACTTCGGTGATCTCGAAAACTGGAAAATCAAAACCAAAACAGATAGCACAAGCTAGTCAACATGCAATGAATCCATTATTAGGGTTGGACGAAAACTGAGCGTAACCGATCAATGAAAACTGACCTTTGAATTTCGCCCTGACTTTCTTCGAACTTGGCATACTTAATCCAGTTCTGCATAGCGAGCCGATTTTTCCTAATATTGTCTTCATAGTCTTTTCGCTTCCTCAACTGGAAATCCCGCAGTTCGGATAGGCTTGTGATCTTCTGTTGAGGGGCTTTAGGAGTCACTTCCAGTTCTCTTTCTTTAGCCTCTCGAAGTAGCTGTTCTGCTGTGATTTGCACATCTGCCGGCATTTTATTTTTAACCTAATAATGCGACGATCAGTTGAAAATAAGGGGCATGAAACTCACCCTGGCGATTTTCATTCTCTTCGGTCTCTGGTCAGAGACCGTTGGAATTTCATACAAGTCACTGTCCATTTTCAGTCACAAACAAAAATATCCGAACACGAAACCCAAGTAGGTATGGCAACAGTGAAGTTCCTAAAAATATCGGCCACAAGGGAAAAGCAGTTAGGCGCCACGTGAAAAACATTCCGAAATTACCAAAGTGTTTCTTCAAAAGTGAACAAGGTTGGATCATCAACAGTGAGTTGAACTAAAATAGATCGCGATGCTCAGGACAGTAACAAGGGCAGACTCAACAGAAGTGGCAGGTAATAATGGGTATAAAAATGGTCAGAAGATGGCTACAGATAAAAACCTACTCCGGAATAAAAAGAAACAACTCCCACTAAAAATGATCGATCCACATCATCATCATTGTACAGCGTGATACAGTGAAGCGGACTTCACTGATCGCTGCCATACTCATAATGCATAATGCAATACTGAAGGCGGGGCCTTTGATATTGGCCATGTCATTTTTTTGTTATCGCTGGAGCTTTGATTTTTTCATCACACACGACCTCTGCATATACTTTTGTATCAATTACGGTGACCTCAATGATAACCTACAATACGGTCAGTTCAACTTCCGTACGAATATCTGTGGGATATATCAACGAATCGTCCCTAAGTGATTTTTCTCGTTTTGTGAGAAATAAGGTCAGAATGATCACCAAAAATCACATGGCAAACGGAAAAAATACCGCGCTGGCTGCAAAGTATAAATTGAGCACCGGAACTTGAAGAGCATTGGTTTTCCGATCATTTTGTCGTCGAATGTCAGCTCAATTCTTTCTAAGCTATCGGACCTCGGTCTTCTGATTCACTACGGTGAGTCCTCCAAAAGTAGTGTGCTACTTTTCCAAGAATCTTGGTTACAAGAATCCGTCGAGGACGAATTGGTTCAATTCGAAGGCTTCCAATTATTTCGAGCAGATAGATCTCCAGGAAAGAAAACTAAAGGTGGAGGCACCATCACTTATGTGGGCCGGTCGTAGTGTAACTCCACCAAATGCATATTTACTCACTGCACACGAAACATTTCTTGT